AATGCAATCCACTATGAAATGTCTGAGATAATAACATCTTCAATTTTGATTGAGTTTCTTCCTAATTTTTTTCTTCGCACCAAAAATATGGAAAATATATTTCATGGAAAAACATACTTAACTTTTATGGATTTCTTTCAAATTTGGTACATTGAAAGATCTTTACAACCTACAATTAGGGGTCTCATTTGGTGTAAATATAAGCCAAATGTGCAAAGTTATTCAACACAAGCCGCCCAAATTTTACGAAAATTTTGCGCACGTCTATGCAAAATGTCACGTGAGCTATCGGTCTAACATTTTTATTACAGCTTCATCTAAGAGTAAAAGTATTAGAGTAAAAGTGGGCCGATTTTAGATTTTGTCATTCGGATTAAAAACGGCTGACTTAGAGCAGCAAAACTATAAGGTGAAAGGACGTGCAGATACATATGTATTAGTTAAGCAAAACAAACTTGGCAGTTTCTAGCTCACTTTTCCAAAAGAATCATACGGGTGGACGGTTATTAATGATTATTCATTGCTAACTTTTCAGCACAAATTTACTAAATCTCATGAAATTATTCTAATTAAAGGGTGTTTAGCGTCACGTGATATGAGCTTAAGCAATTAGTATAAATAACGATGCTTGATACGGCTGTACCGATTGCATGCGGGTGATGACAAGAAACTGTTAATCTAAATTCCATGTCATTACTATAAAGGAAACTGTTAACACAAGAGGAAAACTACCACCATATATTTTAAAGAATCTGTTTTTTCTGTAAAGTAAAGGCCTGTTCAGAATAACAGGGTTGCGATCCTAAACTTAATGTGAGTTACTATCAAGTGTCACTTTCTTACTTGCTGTGGATTGTTGTTGTGTATTGACAAAAGTCATGATATCTAATCTAAAACACCTTCGGTGTGATAAAAAAAGGTGCGACCAGAAAAGGATTGAGTGTGCGACTTAAAGGAATGAAATCAAAATTGGCGGCCAAACTGGAAGCTACACTTATATCATTGATAAGAATTTTACAGCAAATATTCATTCATTAGTTAGCTAGCCGTATTTTTCGTTTTATCCACCATCATGATCCAAGTTGAACAAAAAACGCGGCCTGGCTAACTAATGAATGAATATTTACTGTAAAATCCTATTTTCTCTTTTAATGGTTGAATCTATATCTAATTTAATAAATTCATTTCTAACTCTTATTGTATCGTTTATTTTATGTTGTAATCGTCATTGGTAGCTCAACGTTAAGATTGAGGTTACAACATTAAAACTCGGTGTTCGAAACCCGCGGTGGACCATACTCATGATGCAGGTTTATGCTTAGTAACAAACAAACATTGAAATCATTCTTGTCTAAAACAACTATATCATTACCTTTATCAGGGAGTTAAGGAGGATATGACTAAGGTGTTTAACATTGTAAAGGGAATTGATAGTGTTGATGCATCATCTTTTTTTGATATTTAACAGTAAGAATAGTAGGACTGGGGGACACAAATATAAATTTTGGCAAATAGGTCTCATGTTATCTCAAAACATGTTATGTTATTATGTTTCAACTAAATCTTTATTCTTGCTAAGAGAACAAGATTTACTTCCATGATTTACTTCCCAATTTATTAAACAACGGTAAGGTTAAAGTGCGAACATGAGTTCTTATACTACCAAACAAATCTGTCTTACAAGGAGAAACAAAACAATTTCAATAAGAATTATAAAATAGACAAATATCCACCAAAATGCAATCTTTTTAGAAGTAATTTGCAAGTTAAACCATTAACTAAAGCGCTTTTTTTAATATCCTTAAGTTGGTAAGAACAAAAATTTGTGATGATGCCTTCATGTTTATTCAGAAAAGTTTGAAGAAGTCGAGCGGAATGAACTTGAACTAACGCACGTAATTGAATTATACATTGAGTTAACGTACTATTACTATTTTGTTCAATTAAAGTTCTTAAATAAACCAAATCTTAAAAAAAAACTTATTTTTGCAAAGCACACAGTAAAGTATTTAGTTGTGTAATGGAATTTCTTGAACTTTCATTCTTCAAAAACTGTTTTTGTGCTTCTCTGTAAAACTAAGATTGACTAATCCTTTTTAGCAAAGTTTTAAAACTTGGAAATTGTGGGATCAATTGAAGCCATTTACACTGCTTCAAGAAATCTAAACGAAGAAAGTTCGTATGTGTACGTAAGTACAGTTGTTCAGTTCTGTTTAAAGTTAATAAAGTCCCCAACATCTGTGCGTTAAAGTCCGAGTGTACGATCTATTTTATGAAATTTTACTTAGGATAGAAATAAAAAATAGTCAATATAAATAATGGAATTTTTTTTCCTGCCTTAAACTATTAAGAAAAAAAGTTAAAATATCCACCTCCAATCACGCAAGAAGAAACAATACTAAAAGATACAAGTTGTCGACTCTAAAGAATCATCATTAGTTATATATTAAAAATACCTAAAGGTAAACCAAATAAAATATTTAAAAAATGAAATCTCATAATTTGAGGAGAAGAGGATGCGTAGAATTTTGAAAATTTAAGAACAGTGTCTGATTATCAATTTCACGACTCTGAGGAATTCTCAACTGCACTTTATACTCAGCTGTGGTGAAGTTGTCAGTTGAAATCTGCAATATTACACAGGATGAAATATTACGTGTAGTTACAGATCTTATTAGCTTATTTTTCTTTCTAGTAGCTAGCCACTAGCTGGTGACTTCAACATACACCTTTGCAAAGAGAACATGTAAACTTACAAACACGAAACATGTCTTATCCACTAGAATCAAATTTTGAAATATAGATAATTTTTTTATTCTAAATACAAACTTTCAAAATTCATTTAACTTAAAACTGTAGACATACGTTGCTTAAGATGAAAACCACAGTTGTTGGTTTCTCTGTGGGACAGTAAACTGCGCAGTCTGATGGGTAACTGATAAGTTTGATATTAATTACTGCGAAACACAACATAAGATGTTGTTTATAAGCTTATTTACTTTTTTAATTTATTATTCTTTGAAAAAAATTAAGTTAATATGATAATCTTAAAACTCATTATGGTATGATGATTTCACATTAACGTATAATCAATTCTAGTAAGAAACGTAGTAAATAACATTATTATTATTAGAACTGCGAATTGAAACTGCTAGTTATTAATACAAACTGAATTAATAAAAATAGCTAAACAGATTTAATTAAACTCTAAGAACAAATTTCCAACGGGACTAATTTACGGCCGTGCATTAGTAATAAATTGACTAATGTTTTCTGATATTTAAAAAATAAAAATCAGAGCAATTGCACTGTAATTCTAGCCAAACTTACAGAATCATCTGAACCTTGAGATAATTCTAACCATATTGATAGAATCATTTAAACTTTTAGATAATTCTAATTACAATAATAGAATCATCTAAACTTTGGATAATTTTAACCACATTAATATAGTTATCTAAACTTTGTGATAATTCTAATCACATTAATAAAATAATCTAAACTGTGAGATAAATCTAATCACATTAATAAATTCATCTAAACTTTAATATTCTTTGATTTATACATCTTAATTACGTATTAGGGAATTAATTAATATTTGGCACGCACAATGGCCATTAAGTAACATGTTTTTTAAATTCGTATACTTTGACCTTTTTGAAAGAAAGGGAGCGGCATGATACGATTAGAATAAAACTTAATTATTTGTTAATGTAAATTTGGTGTGTTGTTTCTAGAATTATTAATATTGTTTAGTGATGAATTTTCATAGTTTGTGATTAAAAATATATTAATGTGAATATTCATGCATATTACACATTACGGACAGTTTAACTGAAGATATTAATGTGCATTTTCTTACTTCAGTTCTCCGCAGAACCTCTAAACACACATACTGTTCCGAAATATCATCTTTTAAAAAAAAGTGAATCACATAGAATATTAATGTTAAATTTCGTTATGTTTGAACTTTTATAATTTTAGAAGACGTCATTTACAAGGCGTGTCTAAAAAAAAACACGATTAAGAGTTTTAGAAAATCACGTTATGTTCGATGTTGACCGCACCCATTGATCCCGAAGTAAAAAAAAATCTTAGTAACAAAAAATAATTTTAATTCAAGTGTCACATAAAAGTTGGTTTTAATTAAAAAAACTTATAGCGAAACATGTACAAACATATTCCATGAGTACACTTACAACATTTCACCAGTTTACTTGTCCGTTTGGATGTGACCAAAAATTCTATTCCGAAACTTTCCTTTTTAGAGCACCTTAGTAGGCTATTAGGCTAAATAATATTTTGTATAATGTGTAGGATATTTTATTTCACTGATTATAATGTCCGGAGTAACTTGGAATGTTACGCTAAAGAGTATTTTGTGTAATGAGTATATTTATCTCATTGGTTGTAATGTACTGAGTAATTTGGCTTGTCGTATTATGGAGTCATCTCATTAAGTATTACAACCGTAACACGCAGCATGTGACTCCCAGTCTTCCCCGGAAGGTATAAAAAAGGTCCGATTGGACCAAGGAAAGACGTTTTTTTTTATTTTACTTTATTTAGTGTGTGTGACTTATAAGTTGCTGAAGTAAGTTGTTGTAGTGTTTGGCAGTTGTCAATTTTACCGACTGTGCGTACAAATTTATTTTCTCCGGATTTTATCGTAGACTTGCTGCAATTAAACGCCTACGGAAGAGTCGTAGTGCGTTCTATAAGTTTTCAAAACGATTGCAAATCAAATCTTGAGAAGTATCCATTGGCGCCTGTGCCGTAGATTAATAAAAGGGAGATATTTCCATATAGCGTCAGGCAGAAGGGATATAAATAGAAATTTATAGAAAATAAATCCACGTCGTGCATGAACAGTTATTTACTTTGAATAGTTAAGTATATCTGAGTATAATTATACAAGTTGGTATTTTATTATTGTGTAACTGTTGTAACAAGGCATACATCTGTATACTTTTGTAATGTTTATGTAGTTCTTTACGACCATGAAAGACAGTAAGTTACATTATCAGAGAATGTCACGAATAGAAATATGTTAAATAAATGAAGTCTTCATCGGAAGTTTCATTGTATGAATATAACAACTAAAAAGGCACAGCAAGCACCAGTCAACTAGACAGTTAACAACTTCAACATATAGATACAAACATAAAAACACGTTAACTATTGTAGGTTTCAATACAATATTTCACAAACTTGTTGGGTGTGTGTGTATCATGTAATGACTTAAAATAACAAAAGCTTTGGAGGTATTGCTTCATTTATCAATTATATTTAAATTTCGGATTTTTTTTTATTTAAACCCATTGTTTGCTTTATACTAGTTCGTTGAACTATGGAACTCATTTCGCGCAGTTCGCGTATTATTGTTTTCTGACCTTTCAATTAATGGTCTAATAATAGACAAATTATGTATATCTCGAAAAAAAAAAGACGAAAATTTGTCTTCTGAATAAAGGTATTTTCATTATATCAAATGTAACCAAGTCTTCATTTTCTGCCAGCCAACGCTTATTACAAAAACTTTAGAATGTTAAGAACTTATTTACCCGAAGTTGTGGTCATATCACCGGTGTTGTAGTGGCTCGGCATGGCCAGGTGGTTATGGCGCTCGACTCGCAATCTGAGGGTCGCGGGTTCGAATCCCCATCCCACCAAACATGCTCGCCCTTTCAGCCGTGGAGGCGTTATAATGTGACGGTCAATCCCATTATTCGTTGGTAAAAGAGTAGCCCAAGAGTTGGCGGTGGGTGGTGGTGATTAGCTGTCTTTACTCTAGTCTTACACTGCTAAATTAGGGACGTCTAGCGCAGATAGCCTTCGTGTAGCTTTGCGCGAAATCCAAAAAACAAAACAAACAAACCGGTGTTGTATCTTGGCTCCGAATTGAAATCTAGTAACGTGAGACGACGGTATCAAATAATTGGATAATTAAAATCTTAGACAATGAAGTAAGGTTTATTTTATGAATACGTTCAAGTTTTTAATTTTCATATCGAAAACATTCATTACATTAAATGTAAGCAGAGACGTTAAGATGATAAGAATGCAAATAATCAAACGGTCCATTAGATTCACTAAATCATTTGTATATTTTATGATAGCTAACAAGCATAAACATAGCTAACCGAAGATTCTGAGAAACAACGTGGTTTACGACCATTTTGTACCACTTAAATTGGGTTTCAACTGTTTGGTGTTTTCATTAATTCTTGATAGCTTTACATGGTCATCTTAGCTTGAAAGTATTTACTGCTGGCCAACTGGTAAGTTCCTGAGTTTGTATGGGGATAATATCCTAGGAATTGTAATAGTATTAGCTGCAATTAATGCGCCAATCATTAACTAATTCATTAATATTTTAATTGGATAGAAGAATATTGAGCTTAACACTACTCAGAGTCTATATGTACTACAGTTCATGATGGAAAATATTCTTCTTCAGATATAAATGCTTAAATCAGATCTATAGTTGTATGTAATGTTTGATTTTCTTTTTTTCTTGACAGATCACATATTGTTCTTCTTCTTCTTTTTTTTTTGAGTAAGTCAAGCAATGCTCAGTGGCTAGCTTTCCAGACTATAGATCCGTTACCGCAAAAAAGTGGAAAACCATTTTAGGACCATGGGTGTGATAAAAGAGTGACGAATTAAATCGTACTATCTGGTCAGACAAGGGTAGTGAAAGAGCTAGCGGTGGCTGTAGGCTACCCTATAGCCTATCAAAATTAGGCACGGCTAAAGCAGATAGTCCTTGTTGCGAGAAAAAATATATCCATATAAAGTATTAAAAAAGAATGAACTGATAAGCAGTACAAGACATACCGGACAAGAAAGACACATAAATATATGAACTAAAATTCTGTACTTAAATCTAAAAGGAGATGTATTCTTTTAAAATGTCATTTTTACTCCTGACAAAATGTCACGGCGTTTGAAATTGTCTGAGTTCGAACTAGAGATAAAGACGAATTGAAGACTTGGAGGACTTTCGTCTTGTATTATATAGATTACCAACAAGTTAGAATGATAAATGCCAAGTGTAAGATATCTTATGTAATTTTTTGCCATTTCTTAACGATATACAGAGGTTGAGAACGTTATAGTAAAACGATTTTGGAGCCTCAGCGTGTCGTTAAAGTCTATACCGCTATGTTTCGTTGTAATTTATATGACGACCGTGCATCTTGACAATAATCCTACACCGTGGTTTCCGATGCAAAAGGCTCCTCTATAATGCTGTCAGGACTAGCATGGTCCGATGATTAAGGCACTCTGAGAGTCGTGGATTAGAATCTTCTTCACCGAACACACTCGCCGCGGGGGCGTGATACTGTTACGGTCAATCCCATTATTAGTTGATAAAGGATCAGCCCAAGAGTTAGCCCTCTAATCTATCACTGCTAAAATAGGGACGGCTAGCGCATATAGTCCTCTCGTAGGTTTGCGCGAAATTCACACCAAAGCATAAGGCTCTCGTTTTTAAAGCACACCACTCCTCTGTTCGTACTTTCCATCATGCCCCCCAGTGGCACAGCGGTATGTCTGCGGACTTACAACGCTAGAAACCGGGTTTCGTTACCCGTGGTGGGCAGAGCACAGATAGCCCTTGTGTAGCTTTGTGCATAATTAAAAACAAACAAACAAAAACTTTCCATCATTCAGCAATTTTCCAGCGTCTGTTTCAATATTAAGATGACACACAAATTTATAGGCGCTGCGTTTAGCAACGTAACTAATATGTCTTAGTAAGGAATAACATGAACACCTGTACCATTTTCCAGTTTCTTTGGATGTATAACGGTTGAGCGGATATGTCTGGAAGCAACCTGTATACACGTGACTTGTGTCGCTCTTCCTTCTTCATTATGTTGGATATTGTTGTACTATACATGGATAGTTTTTGCCACCGATAGTTGTGTTTGTGAAGCCTCACCTGTTAAAAGACACTAGTTTGTTATACACGGCAGGGATGCGACTTGTTCCAGGTCTCTTTCTGGATGGTCCTGGGTCTCAATTGATTCATATTCCTTTGTTTACAAATGCCATTAAGTACAAGGGGTATCCTCGCCTTACAAATTCTAAATTCGTGATCTGAACACTTCTTTATGATCCGAGTGTATACACATTTACGTCAGAAAGGATTATTACATGCCCTTCTCAAAAGCGATCAATTTTCGGTATCAAAATGTAGTTCTGATACATTCCTTTCCACAATGATTTAATATCTGCTGTGATTGTCACGTAATTTGCTAATATGAAAGTTCAAAATTGTTTCAGTATAACGTACTAAACTGTTCGTTATTCTTTACATATATTTATATATTTTCTCATTTCATTAAACAGTGCTAAATGGATGAGACATTTAGGCGAGAAGCGTAAGTGACCATTGTTTTACATTTTCCAGATTTCGGTGTTTGAAATAAATGCATTGATATTTCCATTGATGATGGGTTTCCTGGACTGGCCATAAGATTAATAGATACCACCATCATCCCAGTTTTTCGTCTTTACATGATTGTGCATTGGAATGGAATACAATTTATAAACGTTTTTATGTTCAATTTAATTCATCTAAACAATTTTTAAAGACATTAATTCTATTAATTATCATTATTACCATTTCTTGAAAGGATACCATCAGGATGGCTCCGGAGAAAAAGTGACGGCTCTCCTTGGAGAAGATGTTGTTTTGCCATGCTCTTTCGAATTTCCAGAAAGTGGACCCGTTCCATATATCATTCAGTGGCACAAACAAGGAATTAAAATTCCCATATATATTTGGTACGAAGGTTACCCACCTCATATTGGTGAAGGCTACGACGGACGGGTGTCTCTCACAGGTCAGGCATCTCTCAATCTAACCAACTTACAGGACCACGACCAAGGCATCTACATATGCATTGTCAATTTTTTCGACAGGTCTCCGGACCCAAAAAGGAATGGTAGTTTTGTTCATCTCTACGTTCACGGTAGGCCAATTTTTCTTATAAGTTCCTATGAATTGTAATAATCATATACATAATTAGTTTTTTTTTAATATTTTGGTCTAGTTTCTTTATACATCCGATAGACCAACTGTTTTATAATGTGCTTAACACGGTATATTAATATTTCCTGATAACAAGTACGCTACGTTTTAGATTTTTCTACAAAATAATCTGCCAAATTTCTATTTATTGTTTTTCAACGTAAAGGGCCTGGCATGGCCTGGTGATTAGAGCGCTTGACGCGCAATCTGTGGGTCGCGGTTTCGAATCCCCGTAACCGAACTTGCTCGCCCTTTCAGCCATGGGGGCGTTATAATGTGACGGTTAATCCTAACATTCGTTGGTAAAAGAGTAGACCAACAGTTGGCAGTGAGTGGCGTTGGCTAACTGCCTTCCCTCTAATCTATCAGTGCCAAATTGAGGACGGCTAGCGCAGATAGCCCTCGAGTAGCTTTGCGCGAAATTCCAAACAAAACAAATCAAGTCCACGAAGAGATATTATAGTTGTACAACAAAACAATGCTGTTATTAATTCACAATATTCTATTTCTGTTTAGGTCATAACTTACTGATATGTAGTTTATATTTTCTACAGTATATTGTTGGTTTGTTAGTTTACTTGTATGTTGTCCCTGTTTTACTACAACTTGCTGTGATATGATCAGTTTGTTGAACTTGATAGACTGACTAATGTTTTAAGTGTTTAGTTTGATTATGCGTTGTATACTTTATACTGTTGATTTGTTGCAACTCAGTACTTCTGCTAAATTTTGTTCTTATTAAACTAATGAAGTTATAATTAACACGAAGATAAAACTTACGGTCATATTGTTTATCATTTCTACGTAGAACGAATAATAAAATGGTTCTTAGTTGTAAAAAAATGTAATCAGATTTTATCATTGAAATAATCAATAAATCTCCTATACATAGGAAAACAAAGACAATTGTACGTTTCACAAATACTTCATGTATTAACGACCGTGGTTTCGCCAGTAAAGGCATCATCAGATACAGACTGAAATGGTTTGTAAACAGGTTTATATATAGGATTTTATAGTGGTGTGCTTTAGGAATTCGTTTCAAGCATAGTTTCAGTGCTACAAACATTACTTTGGAAACATCTGCAATAAGTTAGTATTTGCTTTTCCATTTAACTTGCAGTTAAATCATATGAAACTATGCTTATCAAGCTATTAATTCTTGATGGTCATTGCAGTTAAAACGTACGAAAGTATGCTTATCAAGCTATTAATTCTTGATGGTCATTGCAGTTAAAACACACGAAACTATGCTTATCAAGCTATTAATTCTTGATGGCCATTGAAGGAAGTTCTCGTGATCTATCGGTTTCCGCACAGTAGTCAAATATTTTGTTGTAGAAATAGTATTAAGAAAGAATTGACACCTCTTGTAGTAATGTTATATAGGTACAAAAGTACCATGCTGATTTTTTATTCATTGGAAATTGTACTGTGATTATTGACGGAATATACCTCTGACCTGAAATATGATTTATTTTGTTTACCTTATTTCATAAATTCATATTTTTAATTTAGCATTTACAATGTTACAAAACATTTGGAGTGCTATGATAATATTTTCTGTGTAAAATTACTTAATTTGATATCATTTTTAAAATTTACGCTTCAATATTGAAAGTTTTCTATCAGAGTGAAACTTTCTCTGAATGAAGAATAGAAAATCTCAAATCTTGAAAAACCCCTAGCGGTGAAACGCACTACCTAGCAACTTTCGCACAAAGGAAACGAAGTCTCAAACTTCTTATTCAAATTGATGTGATTCTATCTTCACTGGCCTAGAGGAAAAAATCTATTTAAACCTTTGAAATGCCTTTGCTAGGAAGGCAGCAAACACTTTACTTGGCTTTCTATTCACTGGGTCCATTTCTTATGCAGATCGGCCTTTCAAGCAAGTTGAAGTATTATTTTTCTTTAGTATTTCGTACTCTAAAACGATGTGTGTCTTCCAGATATGTTGTTTACATTCAATGTTAAAAATAACGAGGAGTTTAGCTCATATAAAACAAAGTAACAAAACAGATCTGTACTTGTTAAAGGTAGAATACTTATATCAGAACCTTACATTAAGTTTTAATTCCCTGAGTGGTAGTAATGCTAAATAAAACCTATTAAAGCAAGTACTTTTCGATTAGTGAAATCACATGACATTTGCAAGGGAATGTTAGAAAAGTTCAGATAGCATAGCTATTTATTATAGCAGCTATGATTTACGCGTGATTAACTTTGTTTTTAGCATTGGAATATATTTTAATGAACATGTAAGAAATCCTTTACACTTTGTCTGCCTTAAGAAATGCTGGCAAGTAGATAAGCCTGTCGTTTTTTACTTACTTGGCCATGATGTTTTTAAAATTTTACCTACAACAAAACGTTCAATATACTATTCTAATTTACTTCGTCATTAAGAGAAGTTGCAATGAAAGATTTTAAACGGAAATTCTTCTGATAAATAACTTAATTTATTTTTGCTTATACAAACATATTTTGAGTTCCAAATGAATTGGTTTTGAAATCATTAAGGTACCAAAGGATAAAAATTAATTCTAGCCCTATTAGAACAGAACCAGATAACTACATATATATATAAGCTAATTAGCTTTAAGCAATTTTTATCACAAGAAATTTAGCAGATAATCGTTAGATCTCTTTCCATTTGCAAGCTACTATTAGTAATGAGCCTGATACTTTCTTCGACTTTCCGCCATTATCTAATCGGTTCTTCTTTGGAACTACAGCTTATCATTTATATAGATTATTATGTGATATTCTGTTAACATGTTGTATTGTGGTATCGAATAACTTAAACAGAAAACACACATATACACTCACACACACACACACATATAATTTATTTTTCCTATTCACATAATACTATATTTTCACATCATTTTTGTATTGAATGGTACAAGCGTATAGTTTTTACGAAATATATTGTTTTTTACTGGAAAACATTTGAGAAGTATCTGACACATGCCCAGTGTTTTAAATTTGCTGTCACTCAGTGGGTCAGAGGTAAGTTTGCGGAGTTATAACGCTAAACTCCGAGTTTCGCTTCCCCTGGTGAACATAACACAGATAAACTATTGTGTAGCTTTGCGCTAAACCAGATAAACAAATTGAAATTGCTGGTGGAACTTCATTAAGTTGTAAATTTATTACTTTGTAGCCAGCTTACCCATGTGATCATCATTTTATACTTAGCATTCAGTAACATAACAAATAATACATTAACATATATTTATTATTTGGCTTTTTAATTCAACATAACAATCATACTTGTCGTATAAAAAACGAGAAAAGAAATTTTTTAAAACCTGTTCATATATTGACATATGTTACTCAACTACAATCTCGAGTGAAATTACAAATAGTCTTAACACAGTCATTATATTCAGATTTGTAGAGTAAACGGTTAGGCGTAATAGTATTTCTATACTGTATTTTTTTCTTAGAATATAACTAAAAATATAATGTCAAAAATGCTCGTTCATTTGATCTATCCGTATAATTTTACGTGTTTTCAAATAGGATGTTCTTATGAAATAACTGAATATAAAAACTCATGTCCAAATGATAAGTTATATTTGATACCATATCTGTTGAATGAAGCATAAGGGCTGTTAAAGTTGTTTTTACTTGTCTTTGGTTATTAAATACTTTCCACGTACTTTTCTGTAGTTTATACCGTAATATTATTTGTCTACATGGCCAGTATGTGAGAAACTGTTTTGGGTATCAGATGCGCAAAGTTAATAAAAAGCAAGCAGTTGAGCGAAAATTGTTAATCTCTCGCTTGAGGTACTCGACAAATATGTGTTATTTATCGAAACTGATATATATCAGTATATTACATAGACTGATGAATAAGTCATTTAATGCCAAATTGTTTCGATAGCACTCATACACTAGTAAAGCAATACAAGCTTTTTGTTTGACAAATGGTTTTAAGTTAGATAGATATACACGAGAGAATGAAGAGATTCTAATTATTTATCTCAAATAGTTTAAATGTTTGTAGCTAGATGAATGGATAGTGAATCTCACAAGTGCTTGCTAATATTTCAGTTTATCGATAGATCAATAACTAATTAAAGGAGGATAGCTTTCATCTGATTACTACACAAGATTTACATAAATTAAAAGAGTAACAAAGTAAACTAAAAAGCTGTGAATTCAAATATATGAAAAGAAAGATAAAGAGATGATCAAATCAATGAAACCTAGTCTTTATTATATAAATGACTCCACATTTATATAACTAAATAAAAAGACGAACGGACGAATGCAGTACAGATTTGACAATTTTGAAATGCGTCAATACGCTATTTTCTTTAAGATTTCTTTAAATGTTACTATATCGTATCAAATCAGTTTTACAATAGAACATATTCCTTTCCAAACTCCTCAGCCTAACAAATTGAGATACTTTTTATCTGCTTGTGAAATTACCTGAAGAAAAAAGTAATAACCTTTCGGCGTAACTGATCAAACTGCAGCAATGGTCTGGTTTTCATACGTTTTTTTATAAAGGCACCTCGTTTCCTAAATGGCAACACATACACACACACACTAACGATAAGATAAGGCCATGGAGGTTCTTTTAAAAGTCTTTGAATGTTCGTTAAACAGAAAGTACTGAATATGAAGCGTGACTGTATTCTTTCTCTCTTAACAGTTTGCTAGTTTCTAAGTGCTTTTTTTCTGTTCAGGTGTGCTATTCCCATCACTCAAATCACAGGAAATATAGTACAAAATGTTTTTTTTTTCTCAAAATCATGTTTTACTGATTTTCATTCTTTTGTCATTACTGTTTCAGCATAATAAATATAAAGAGTTGGAAATCTATTACACATCTTTCTAAATAACTATTTTAAAAGTTTCAGATTCATTATACTAACCGTAAATAAATAATATTCTATTTCTTCATGATAGTTAAGTATATGTTAACAAAGAGTGCTAGAAGAAATGAAAGGGTATTCTTTGATGTTTACTTTGTCTTCTGTTTTTACTTAAATCATAGAGTAATTAGTTTTACTTTGAATTAAGCTTCTTCTCAATCATATGGTTTGACAAAATAAAATATGTCAAAGCGAATTAGGATTTTACTAAATTTTGTTCTACCCATTTTCATTTATCATAAGTTTCTAGACATAAAATTAAAATTGTTAGATTGTTTGTAATTAAACACAAAGCTACACAATGGGCTATCTGTACTCTGCCCACCACGGGTATCGAAATCCGGATTCTAGGGTTGTAAGTTCGCAGACATACCGCTGTGAATAAAATTAAAACATACTTGCATTTTGCTATTACATAAAAATATTTCAAAGTGTACTTTAAAACACCCTTTTATCGCCGAAAACATTTGTAATGGTTTTTAATTTTCATTGGGGCTTGGGGAATTTTGTATCCATCTTTGAAGGCTAGGTTGTGCCTTCAGAAAAAGCTCGTACTGAAGATCCCATCGCGCTCGGCTATTTATTAGTACATTAGTTACAGGTAAAGTTTGTAATGGCGAGAGAATTCCCACAAGTTATGAATTTCAAACTCAGCTTTGTTAAATTAACCGAAACAAGGAATATAGTGAAATGTAAGTGGTAATTAACACATTAGCATGCATTTCCCAAATTAGATTAAAATAAACTAAATTCACTTGATAATAAATCCTGTTTTTCTATCTATCCGTTCGTGATGACAACTCTATTCGTGCTGGTCCTATAACTAAATATATAGTTTGGTGATTAAAGAATTCCTTCTGAGTGAATGCACAGTTTGTGTGAATTATAATTGGAACAATTGGACAGTGAAATTAGAAATGTTAAACATAGCCCAAAGGAATGAGTTATTATAGAACCATCTAATTAACATGTATGTTATTATTTGAGACATGCGGGCACTCTGAAATAATCATAAAATGAAACGTTTCCGTTTCTCACGATACGATGAGAAAACTTCATTAGGAAATATGAAGAGGGAATGTAAAACTGTGTTGAATCAATCATTTACCCAGAATGCACTACTTACATGCAAGATATTAATTTTTTAAACAATTGTTATCAAATTGCTTTATTCCCCGAGTAAAAGCAGCGAATAATTATAGCTTACAAACATCATCCCAAAACAGGAGAGTTATATGAAAAAAAATTGAGTGTAACTAAAACGTTGAAACATAAAACATGATTTTTTCTACAAGCACTGATATGTTTTAACACTGAAAAGGACGACGTAAGATTAAAATAGTAGAATTAATGGGAATGTCTTTGTTCGCTTAAAATTATTTATGAACAAATAAATAGCGAGGTTATTTTGAAGTGTTATATAAGGAGTTATTACGTAAACTTTTACAGCACCACCTCATTTTCGTGTCAAACCGCTCGATGTTGTTTATGTGAAGATTGGCGAGAAATTATCTCTCCAGTGTGCTGCTGATGGGACTCCTGATCCTGATATTCGTTGGTACAAGGTATGTTGTAAGAGACTGAAGAGTGGCAAGATTTAGCCAACAAATTTAAATGGTGACATAAGTATTCAGTTAACTGTGCAATTTTTTACGATCGATTCATTTGTTAAATAATTTTTTCCTGTAAAACATATTACAGCTGAGCTATTATAGAGATTGTTAAATATTTTCTGCATAAGTTGTAATATTATGTATATAACAGAAAACTATTTGTATAATCTAATAAATGTAATTGAAAAACATTTTAAACTTAAATCATAAATAGATAAACAGATAGCTACCGTATCTATAACTGTAGTTAAAATTGATTTGGGATTGAATATCTGGAATATGTGTACTTAAGACTTAGCCTACAACAGTAACATATTCGCTATTTAGTGCAAAAAACAAAAACATAATAGTCACATATTTAATTTAGTGATTTTGCTCCATATATAAGGAAAATAATTAAGTATCAACAATTAATTGTTTGTTTACTAAGCACAAAACTATACAATGAGAGATCTCTGCTGTGCCCACGACGGGTATTTAAACCCTGGTTTTAGCGTTATAAGCCCTCAGACTTGCCAGTGAGCCACATGTGTGTGTGGGGGGGGGACTGTTAGTAGATTATATATGGTACACGCACAAAATTATTTCCTATAGTTTCAGTACAAACGATAGCTCAGAGTTAATCTCCAGGCCTTATAATACTAAAATTCTAAAAGTTGAGGGCTTAATTCCTGCGTTGGGCATAGCGTTGATAGCTCATTTTTTCAGCTTGTGGCTTAAAAGAAACAAACAAACAGATGTAATTTCAACAACTTTTACGTAGTTGTTTTAATTTTCTGAGACATGGCATTTTTAAAGTTGGTATAAGTTCTTTTTACTTAAGGTCTTTCAAAATGATATTTTTGTGTTTCAGAACGATATTCCGCTACATGAAGGTCCCACAGTAAAAATCAGCAGAGGAACTTTAGAAATAACAACAGTAGAACAAGATCAAATCGGAGACTACGTCTGTATTGCCAGAAACAGCGAAGGAAATGCTATAGCTGCTACGAAGGTTATTGTCGCTGGTGAGAAATGTATTTTTTCTATTGAAACATGACAGCGTTAAGACTACTGTTTCATTTTCGATATATCTCTTTATATGGATAAACGGATTCACTATTTTAATTTCTATATTTCCTTTCTGTACTTATTATACTGAAGGGAATCGCATTTACTTAGACGTAATCTACTGGGTAAAAATACATCTGTCTTTATTATAAGATGAATATATAGTCTGGACTACTGTTAATTTCCATGTCTGTTTTTTTGTTTATACTTTTGGTTGCATAAGTTATCCATCATTGGTTTGCATTATATATCAAGCTTGAAAAACAAAACATCAAAAAAACATCTTGCTGTTACTGGAATAGATTTGATTATTCGATCCAAAAGTTTTAAACTGTGCCTTCTGTTATATATCCTTACTAGAAATATTACCACGCCGTAAGAAGAAAATTATATTTCGGATTTTTTTCTTGTCACGCAATGTTACCCAAGAGACTTTAGTTGCTTTTCTTTTTTCTTTTTTTATGGAAGAAACCTAAATGAGCTCGAACGAACCTTTATACAATGATTCAAAAAAAGAGAACATACATTATTGAACAGCACCGGCTGGTGGTACTTGTGGACTTTCTAAATGAAAATTAATGAACTTCATCAACATCCAGTGCTGTGATTGCTTTAGCTGGTTTGTAACAGCTTTTAAGATTCTAATTAAGCAGCAGGATAGATGGTTAATTATATTAACGATCTAAAGGATTTAAAACGATATTACTTCAAGTGTGTCTTATCCAAGAGGGATTGTTCTCAAGTCTTTCAAGCCTCAATACGACTCGATTCTGAGAGCGATGTTTTAGCTATTGATTTATGTCGCTATGTTGGACCAGAACATTTTGCATATTATGTATTACTAAACATACCAAGTAAAGAATAACAGGTGTTGCAACTTTTAAAATGTGCGCATGCGTCAAACACACAAACACACACACACATACACACGCACATAAGTTGATTAATTTTACAGAAACAGCTGATATTATATGACACTACATCGCCTTTGTGGAAAATTGGCAGTTCAATACAAAAGGAAAGACCATTCTTGTAAGCAGGAATGAACCTGTTAGCCACCATTTTCTTTCACATTAAATATCACCCGCTTTCTATACTCTCAAAAATTCTTAATATGTTTTTCACCTCTGTTGTTTCCTTAAGTTGGCAGTTCAATACAAAAGGAAAGACCATTCTTGTAAGCAGGAATGAACCTGTTAGCCACCATTTTCTTTCACATTAAATATCACCCGCTTTCTATACTCTCAAAAATTCTTAATATGTTTTTCACCTCTGTTGTTTCCTTAAGTTTTTGTAATTGGCTTTAGGTGTCGTATACTTTCGCTTAAAGAAAACGTCTCAACTATTATTATTTCAGCATTGATTTCTAAAGTTTGGCTATCCGATCACATACATGAACTCAACTATTTCATGTAGGTCGTGAACTGTAACATAGGAGTTTTATCCACTAAAGATGAAATGTTTCATGAATAACACATGACTTGGTATCATCTTTGTTTAACAAGAGTCAACTTTCTCTGACACTGCCTATATTGTTAAATGTAGCTTTCTCAATATATTTGTGTGGTGTGACCTACAAATGAAACCTATTGCAAGTCTTACAAGTGATGGCTGTTTTTTATTACACTGTTAATGCTGTGCCTGTTCTCTTATTAGTGCCAGCAGTGATATTACAGACGACTATGTATAAGCTCACTGCTAGTGGTGAGTCGTAACATTTGTAGGTGCTTCCTTATAGAAAGCCTGCCAGAATACTGAATCCTTTCTCCTCACTTCATGTTAGCAGTGACCCCTTTCAATCTGATGCGATTTGTTATAGTACATATGTCAGCAGGGACTTCATTTACTGCAGAAGTGGTTGTAAGGCAATTCACTTTACTGATGGTTTCCTATAAGACGACTGTCAACGTTGATTCCTTCCGCTTTAGAGGATATTCTTTCCAGTTCACAAGCGGTTTACAAGACGCCTGTTAAAATTTATTACTTCTAATTTAGCGGATTTTCATTCCATCTTACAAGAAGGTCTATATAAGACTTTATTACTTCTGATTTAGCGGATTTTCATTCCATCTTACAAGAAGGTCTATATGAGACTTTATTACTTCTGATTTAGCGGATTTTCATTCCATCATTCAAGAAAGTCTATATAAGACTTTATTACTTCTGATTTAGCGGATTTTCATTCCATCATGCAAGAAGGTTTATAGAAGACGCCTGTTAAAAGTGATTACTTCCGTTTTAGCAGATTCTCATTCCATCTTACAAGAAGGTCTATATAAGATGCCTGTTAAAATTGATTACTTATGTTTACGGTGACTCGTTTTATGCCTTTAATTTCAAGCATTCACTTTCACTACAGATTATTAGTAATACAACCTTGTATAAATACATTTCCTTTTTAGTAATTGTTGGATGCTGGAGTTTTACTGATTCTAATAAATTCATACAATTGGCCTAACAAGAACTTCAATTATATATTTGGTCTACCAAAAAAAAACGTTTTTAAAATGATTTTTTTCAAATACAGAACCCTCGAATGGAAACACAAAAATATTCCTGTCGTAACCATCGACTTTGCTTACTTTTAGTTGTTTACAAAGTTCTGAAGAGCTTTGCTGAATCACCGAAGAGGAAATATAACCACAATAGCTGTATATTGTATTAAAAATTGAAATAACGACTTTTGTCCCATACAGACATCTTATACCTCTATAAAATCAGTCAGTAAATACTTTTTTTCCTTTTAGTCCATTTAACGTTAACTAAGTATGAGTTAATTCATTCATGCTTTTAATGTTGACGTTTAATAAGTTATGCATAAGACATAAATTGATCATTTGTATATATATATATATTGGCGGCTTAAATAGAAATGTTGGTAAGATTTAAGTTAATAAGGTTTTACTCATCCAATAAAGATGACCTGCTCTCTTGACTAGAATAATTTTGTATAAATTTATTTGTTCTACGTATACCTTTAAATGATACAAAGCATTTCTTTACTATTGTCCATTTCTAGATATCGCCGCATTTACTGTTCATAAATCATGGATTTGTTTGGAAGTCTTTTGAGTCAAGCTCAAAAAATAAGTGATCATTCATTTTCTGTGCAGTTAGTATCATAATCTCTGTCATTGAACGTAGCTGAAGTTGTGTCCTAATCCAAGTTATTTTCACATGTTGCCATTCATTTTCTGTGCAGTTAGTATCACAACCTCTGTCACACATTGAACGTAGCTGAAGTTGAGTCCTAATCCAAGATATTTTCACATGTTGAGTGCAGATGAAGTTAACATCTAATCTCGATATCTTTTCACGTGCTCTAGGTTGACCATCTATCGTTCCAGTTTTGAACTGTGAACTTTGTTTATTTCTTTAGGTCCAGCGGTCATCACTGTTCCACCTCGAAATCTTACAAAGCTAGAAGGAGATAAAGCTGAATTTATCTGCGAAGCAAAAGGGTTGCCAGCAAATCTTACCCACCGCTGGCTATTAAATGGAAAAGAAATTTCCAAACTTAACTGGTTGGTAACACGTACGGTAGTCAGGAAAGATGGAACACTTTTCATCAACCCTACTTCAGCAGAAGATTCAGGACTCTATACCTGCGAAGTGTTCAATGGAATTGGAACCCCGGAGAAAGCATCGTCTTACCTCAGTGTTGAATGTAAGTTAACTTGAGTGGTTCGTTTCTTTTGTTACCTAAAGTTTAGCTTTGAAGTGAAATTATAACCTAAACTAAATGATTATTTATCATACCTAATGGGTGGGCCAATATTTTCTTCATATTTTTGTATAGAGTTATCACAGATGTTCAGAGCCTTAAGATGTATTAGAACTCGATGAGAAACAGTTGTGTACTTTTACCTTTAATATTTCGAGACTGTATCTCATAACGCCTCTAATGTATTGAAATTCCTTTAATAATATAAAATTAATTATGATATTTGTGATGAAAGGTGCATAACTTCGAAAGTCAACGAATCTACCTTTTCCAATAAGCTATTAATCTATCGTTTATAAATCGAAATGTTTACACATTAGCTGTTGGAATAACAACTCTCATGCTACTACAGGGACACATTTTGTTTGACCAGTCAAAAATGTTGTTTCAGATAAGAGGAATCCATATAACTGGCAGTAATGATGATGCTTGTCATTAATATGTGTCAAAATATATTTGCTTAACAAAAGACCGCGTTTAAATCTTTACCGTTGTCCGTATGCATGGTTATGGAGTACTGTTTGTTTGTTCGTTTGTAATTAAGCACAAAGATACACATCTTTGCTCTTCCCACCACGGGTATCGAAACCGGATTCTAGCGTTGTAAGTTCGCAGACAAACCGCTGTGCCATTGAGGGGCATGGAGTAATATGTTAGTACAGAAATAATGATACGTATATTAAAGATATTTTATGGGGAGGATTGTTTTCATTTTCAAAATATGTCTTTTAGAGCAAGTTATGTTTCACAATTCTTAAAAACCTGAATGCCATATAATTAGCAAAGTTCATTAAAATCCCTTTTTTGTTAAATATTAATGTTCATTTTATATTATTTTTTACCATTGTAATTGCCATAACTGGTTTCTATAAGCATAGAAAACAAATATTAATTTATATACAGACAATTATTTTCGTATTTGTACACTTATACATCACTGTCATATAAATACTGTAAATGTGCGTTAAAAAGTAATGACATTCAAAATGTTCATCATGTGAGATTCGCATTTTTCAGAAACATTTAAAACGTGAATTGTGTGTATTTTAAGCTACAAAGAACCACATTTCTTGCAACTGTATAAATTTTTTCTTCATTAAAGATCGAATAGTAACCATATTGCGATGTCCAGCCTTCAAAATATTAGGGGACGAAATTCAACATAGTTGTAAGTTTTGCAAGAGTATAGGAATAGTAACTCTCATACGCTGTGTTTTATAGCAAAGCCACATCGAGCTACCTGCTATGTCCACCAAGGGGAATCGAAACTCTAATCTTATCGTTGTAAATCCGTAGACTTACCACTGTCTCTATTTTAGAGACCTTCAAACAATTTTTTTTCACTTTCACAGCATAAGTGTTTTAATGTTCATAAAAGTTTTTGCTTTAACATCTTTGAATGATTTGGGTTGCACCTCGACAATTAAATGGGTAAAGTTTTGTTTTCGTGATTAATAGTTCCTTACTTTTGAGAAATAAATTACATAATTAGATTGAAATTTGCATAGTTTATGATTATAGATAGAAAATGTTATAACAATTTTTAAGCCACAAACATTATTTTGGATAACTAATTTCTATGTTGCTTAAGCATAACCAATTCGCACAGCTTTCTTCATAAACTTTTATGAAAAAAAATATTTTTTTCTTACATTTCCGTATCTTCACTTTAAGAAGTGTATTGTTTTTTGAAGTCTACTCTAATTAACATATTTTTTTCGAATTGTATCATACACTATATTACTAAACTTACTTGGATAGTGTAACTCCATCTACTGGAAGTTTCATCGTGCTGAATTTACATATAAATCTCATGATACGCCACTATGTAGGTCTCGAAAAGGTCAGTAGCTGTCACACAATATTGACAAGATGCCCGAGTTCAGAACCTTCAAATAGGATGGTTATTAAATGCTATATTGGTGGTTTGAAGGACCGGAGTATTTCCTCACAACTATTTGTACTCAAGTTAACTGTGGATAACAGGCAGGAGACACAGAAGACTACTGGACATGTTAAGATGGAATATCGACCAAGCCGCTTAAAATAAAAATTAATAGCTTTTCTATTCTTGGAACCTTGAAACGATATCTGAAATTAAAAACATCACCCTAGAGTTCAGGATTGTATTCCAGCATATAATTATACTGTATTACACGAGTAGGTTTCTTCCTATTAGCTGCTTATGTAGTCTTGTTGCTTCTCATGGTGCCATGAGTGTCCAAATTATGGTGAATAATATTGAAAACAACATTAGGTGGAGCGATGAATCCTACTAGTTGTTTAATTCGGACCAACAGTTCTAAGGTCTAAACGCAACCTGTAGAAGTGGTGGTGGGATAGTATCATGATTTGAGCTGTTTTATTTAGTTTGAGCTTGATCCAATGGTAATAGTTAATATAACAATTAATGTCATCTCGTATTATAACATTGTAGACAATGCAGCGGTATCTGAAATGATGTAACCTAAAAAGATGGGTCATGCCATTTTTAGCATTATAAGTTATCATACTAAACAGTCCAGAAGTGAAGAACTCCAACCTGGATCGAGTTAAATCGCTTTGAAACGTTTTAAAATACTTCCAAAAGGAAAAGACCAACCACGCATTCTTACTACACTTGGAGTTGTTTGGAAGAGATCGTACTACTCCTTATTAACATGGATTCCCAGTGGCGAAATATAACATCTCCCTCCTAAAGATCGATGTTTCAATACGTTTGATAATATAGTGCACGCATAACAAATCGTAGACAAGGATTATTGATTCACATCACTAAGTTACTTGTTTTTTAACAATAATAAGTAGTTTCGTTGAATGTTCTTTGCCACGATTGTTGTAATGTTTTGTTTTAATATCTTCATGACGAAATACTTAGTTGGGTCAGGATATTTTTCGAAAATAAAAATAGTAATATATCGTTATCATCCTTAAGCATCCTATATGACCACCTAAGCTAATTATTAATTAATTTTTTGCCTAGACACTAATTCCCTCCGGTGGTTCAGCGGTACATCTGGGACTTATAAAGATAAAAACTGGGTTTTGATATCTGCTGTTGGCAGTGCAGGATAGCCCATTATGTAGTTTTGTGCTTTACAACAAAACAAATAATAATAATTACCAAGAAATCCTATCCTACAGGTTGGCTGCTAAGCTGTTGCTATCTTCAGGGAAGCCATAATAAGGTCTGTTTCTTTGTTGGACGTTTGATACGTAATCCTTCCTATTAGAACTTTAATCGACTTAATTATTTGAATGCTTTCAAAGGAGTATCCATATTCTGCTGTCTTCTATTCTTGGTTGACTGAGTGTGTTATCAGTTAGTGAACGTAGAAGGCTTCTTTTTTCCTTTTCTTTTTATTTTTTTCGTGTGTGGTTCATATCCAATTATAATAGTATCATTCAAATTTATTGTATGTTCTGCTTCTCTGGCATAATGGACTATTGCAGATAGTTCGGTATTATCGAGTCTTGTATGGCCATTATACTCCTTAATGCTAACTTTTGTTGATCTTTTACTTTCTCTAAAGTATTGGAATCCACATTCAAAGGGGATTCTGAAAATGATATTTACGGTACTAAATGCTAATCTAACCGAGAAAGATAAGAACGTTTTTAAACCTACGTTTTTCAACAGTGAGTGTAAACAACTTAATTCAAGGGATGGTTGTAGGTTGGTTGATATTTAAAAGTGTCCTTGTACACATATAAAATAGTGTTAGAATGCAGTTACAGAGTTATTACCGTAACCGATGTTATTCAGTTGTGAACGTGCCAATGAAATTTGTTCTAATAGGAGAGCACGTAATTTCCAAGTAGCGAAAGTAAAACTCCAAATAGGCATTGTTTAAATTGCTATTATTTTGAGGTAAGTAGCTTTCGTAATACCAGGAAAGAGTAACCACCCGTAAGAGACAAACTGTATCAAAATGTAGTTGTGATACATGCTGTTCTACCACGACTTTATACGACAATAAGTAAACTGTTAAGAGTACAGGTCACTATATCGCCACATGTGGTATGTCAAAAGTTTTCTTTACAGGTAGGTGTACTTTGTAAGACCAATATGTAATAGCCATACCTTTCCTCAGGATGTAAAAGACGCTATACCAATCAATGTGTATTTCTGTCAGCACTGGGCTTTCACTATGTGCATTACATTCATGTTTTAAGAATTTGGGGTTGAATTTAGGTTTAGGTTCTCTCCACATGTTTATATGCCTGTCATCTAACTGCAGGATGAAATGTGACTCAAAGAAACAATTTTGTTCCACATTTCATTGTTTCACTAAACGCATTCTTGGCATCATTGTGGTCGAGCTGTTTTGAGTCTATGTTTTTATGTTAGCAGAATAAATCAGACATACAGGCTGATCTTTTGAAGTCAGTTTTCGTGGTATTTAAAAAGTTATGATTAAGTCTTGGCTTAGATTATTTCAGATAGAAACTTTCCTAATGACACTTTCAGATACTTATAATCAATTTGCAACAGCTTATTAAAATTGCCCAACTTCCGTTTGTCCGACAACTTTGAAACTATAATTACCTTTATAATGATTACCGAGACAAATCTTTGTGAAACTGGTATATATATATATATATATGACTGAATGACTATTGATATGAATTTCAAATCACATAACTAATCCTCAGCTATTTTGTTTGCATAACAATGAAATGAGTGGTCTCATTGGCATTATTTTATAAGAGAGATTTTCGCCTTGCCATAAGTAATACATCAGTTATTCCAATGATCATTTATTTGGTTTGCGTAGTGTGAATTAATCACATTCCTTTATTTTGTATAATTCATTCTTTAATTTCAAATGCCGGCATTATTGTAGATAACACAGCTCCATCTTCTGTCCTGACAGTTAATATTGTATGATGTAAAACGTTAAAATGTATTTTCTTTCTAATACGTACCTATATATACCAACAAATATACAAGCGGCTGGATTTAACAATTCCTGCATTTCTAATACTTTAATATTCACATACCCACAAGTAAATAAAGCATAAAATCTGCACTTTTAAGGTTTTGTTCCAACATGTTGATTTCTAATTTAGTCCTTCAAGCAATTGCAGTAATGAACTTGGATCTTTGTTTACCTTCTTTATTTTCTGTTTTCATTTAGGATGTTGTTACAGTTTTCTTTTTTTTTTTCTCCGTTATATTTAAATCGTTTAGATTGTTCTCAAAATTTATTCTATCTACAGCAGTTAGTAAAGCTGAAGTAGGAGGTTTTGGTCTGTACGGAATGTTTTTTAACAGGATGTAATATTTTAAAGCTTATTTGAGTTCAACAACACTACTATTCATTATATATGCAACTTTCCTGGAAAATCTCATAATGCTACTTTGAAAATAGTTTTGATTACTTCTAGCATTTTCTAGTAAGGATGTAATCTAGCTAATCTATCAGACAGCTGTTCCTTTCTTAATCATTTTTCCAAATGTCATACCGTTCTTAGTTACTAATTCAACAAAACCACTGATAAATAAATTAAATAGAGAAGTACATTAACTACATTAAATGTAACTGAGCAACTTAATAGGCAGAAAAAAAATGTCATTGGTAGTGTGTCAAAATATGTGTATTCATATAACACTAAGGAAATAAAGTTTCAGTTGATTTAATTGGAAATGTAATGGGAAATATCGTCGTGAAGAAATAATGAATCTCTCGTCTAATCTATAAGATAGGAAAAGTACTAACACAAATGTTAATTTGCGTACCCCTGTATACGAAGTCGCTGTAAATGGAAATTTATCATGTAATCAGGTGATTTATTTGCTGTACAATCAAAATAAATGTTTCCAATTATGGAAATATGCGATAGTGTGTTAAGCATTTAAATGCTATTGACTGAAAGTATGTTAACAAAAATTAATTTGTTTTCAAATTGGAGTATTCTTACCTATCGCTCATACAATGAAGATACATGTAGGTCGACTTGCTCTACAGGTTAGCTTTTTCCAAGAAGTTGAGACAGTGTTTGAAAATCATAGTGGTAAAAGTAAACAACAAAACTTTGAATTAAAGTTGAATTGCATCAATTGACACGTCATTAAATCAAACGGAACGTCAACATTTCCAACAAGCTCTTTATTTATGAATAAACAATTTTCTAGAATTACTATTTAAATACATTTATTTCCTGGTAATTTTAGATATGTACCCTCGATTCTTCTTTATAGTCTTGCTTCCCAATCTGCACATAAAAAGTCTAAGCCGCTTTTTGACAGAATGTTTTAAAATCATACATTGTTTTAAAAACGACATCTGCTTTGAAATCATTCATAAAATAAGCTATTTTTATTGACAGCATAAGTTCAAGTGTTCTCATAAGCAATAATGTTTTGCATAATGCTTCCTAAGGATTAAGCAAATATTTTCAAAATGCGCTTAGAGACAGTAGTGGATTGAACCCATTATGTTTCTAAAACGAAACGAATGATCATATTGTGTTTCCGTTTCCCCGGAAAACATAATCAATACAAGTTTCTTTTCGTAGGAGTTCCTTGAATATTCTATCAATTTGCGCACTAAAAAAAGAAAAGAAAACTATTCTCAGCATATGAAACTGTTTAAGGTTTACAAACTTAAATAGATATCAAAACGTTTAGATATATATACCGCTTATCATTATTATATTTTCAAGATGACATTTAAGTAGATTATCTACTAGACAAAACCGGGTAGGCATATAAGAAATCTATAGATTTTAGATTCTTGTAGTTCCTAGATTATTATTTTAGCAAATCTATATTTGATTTATATTTTGTAAATATAATCCACGTCAAGTGTTTGATTCTGTAAGAGGCATTCTATGAAAAACTCTAACAAACTGTATTGGAAGTTGTATAGCAGTATTTTCTAAGACCGAATTATCGATGTCAAATTAATCTACTCCCTAAACCATCTATAGTTTTATCCATATGCTGAAAGAAAATAGCATGACAAGCTTGTACAAATTTGCTTGCTATCGGCTACTTAGTTATTTCTACATTTAGTATTTCTTTAGTAGTCATCCCAAAATTAAATGCTGCACTCTAAAATCTATAGTGTGCTCAGAAGGTAACTTCAGAGTATATGGCTGTCCGAAAATGTTTCGTAAATAAATGAACGCTCGATTTTAGACGCCTCTTGGATTTAACTTTCGAAGGTTGTGAAACTGAGCTCTTTAAGATTCGCTGATAGCTCTTGCTTGAATCATCTCCTAGTGGCAACAAAATGAAATGGGGCATAAGAGTGTAAACAACTTGCTGACTCAGTTACAAAGAGGTATTTGTTTTATTTTTAGATCAACTTAGGGATTTGAGTTAAGAATCGTATATATTAGTTACACTTATTTTTTTTAAAGTTCTGATATTGAACCTGTTTTATTTTTCCTGTCGATAATGTTCCATTTGATCATTGTCATATCCACATATTTGTTTCCAACGCAAAAGTTATATACCTGTATTTTATTTTCAACAATAATTTAGAATTTACAGCCTAGGAAATTTAAATTTCTACAAGTAACATCTTTGTCTTGAATCTAAAGTCAAGTACGCGTATTAACATACAATTTTATAAACGTATTCAAAAAGATGTTCTTAGTGATGCACATATAACAAACTATTACCTATAATAATGTTCATATTCTTCTCTCAGTAACAGTCAGAAAATCCCCATACTTTACAGATTCTGTTTCCAGAATTGTTAGGGAATATTTGATATCAAGTGTGGTAATTTCATTATAAATAGTCCTGTTAGCAATTTCTCGAATTCAAAAATTATTGTATATATATCTTTGCATATTATAATTTTATTCAATTACGTAAATTCAAGCATTTTCCGGCTTCACCTTGAATAACATCTTAACAAGATTTCAGTATCTAGTAATACTCCAGTTTGTATGTAACACTTTTTTTTATCCTGTAGATCCAGTAAAGGTTGCTTATTTCATAACCGTCTAATATCTATATTTAATATTCGTTGTTAAGTTTTATTTTGCCATACTTATACGTAACATTTTATGGATCATATAGATCCGGCAAGGGTTACCTATTCCCCAACCATCCAGTATCTCCCTCTGGGCTTATCTGGAATCATCCGTTGCTATGTTCAGTCAAATCCCCCATTTACACATATCAAATGGAACAAGGACGATCGACCTTTTGATCCAAAAGCTCACTATGGAGTAGCCAGTCTAAATAATGGTTCTCTACAGATCCAGAGGGTGACCCACGAGCACCAGGGTTGGTATGTTTGTACTCCATATAATGTATATGGCACTGCGGGTCGTTCAAATAAGATGGAAGTATTAGTACGAGGTAAGCAGATATGCATTTAGTTATCTATTTATTCTATCTATCTTTATTTTTCCGAGTATCTGTACTATATTTTCTGTGAACTCTTAATATGCGTCATCAGTCATCATATTTGTGTTTTACACATTTTTATGACATGATAATTTTTTGTTAATGGATTTTAATAAAAACAAAAAACACAAGATGAGTAGTTTATACAGTACTTTGTGTTCTGAGGGTTTACTAATCTAGTTCAATAAGAACTAGGAAACAGAAAGAAATGTTGTTCTCTGACAGGTAAATTTGTGTCAGCAACGCTTTGATGATTCGATACTATAACTTAATTTCTGAACACAATATTATATTGAAAAATAATTATTTTATTGTCTGCATATGTTTAAATTTGTGTCAGCAACGCTTTGATGATTCGATACTATAACTTAATTTCTGAACACAATATTATGTTGAAAAATAATTATTTTATTGTCTGCATATGTTTAAATTTGTGTTATTACTATTAAGGAAGTTTGATAAGGTCCATTTATTACAGTATGAATGGCCTAATACCGAAATTAGACGGAGAACGTGTCATGTGTATCTAGTATGTTTGTTACATCGAACCAACTCAAATGATAACATTTTCGTACATTAAATTCTATACTGCAATCTAAAAATGTATTTATTATGTTTTCGGTATAATAAATGTATTCGTATGTTTAAGTACATTTTCTGGATTTTACTCCTCAAATTTTATGCTGTGTTACTAAAATAATACAACTGCAAAACTGTTACTTGTTTCCTTGTCTAAATTTCCATTGTATCCGTTTTCTCAGTATGTCTAATATTAACCTTTTTTCAAAATATGTGCTGAGAATATTGCTTTTATTTACTTTCTTTGTTAATAGATGTGCATTTTTTAAAACTTTGCTTATATTACCATTCTGTATTTGTCCTTTTTCAAGGATATTACGAATATTCTGATTATTGCTCTAGTATTTCTGTTCAATATCATAAAAGTAGATTCAATAAGAGACAAGCGGACTGTTTCATTTATTCCTATAAATTTATAAGATTATAAAGTTTCATTTTCGATATGCGTTTTTATTGTTTTAAGCATTTAAAATTATTTCAGTATTCCTCGTACTAATTCTATATTTCATTTGGAAAAGCAAACTTTACGAAAGAATATACAATCTTCTGTAAAGTAGGTTATGCTTTGTTTTTAAATTTAGTGTTTCAAAGCATTCAGTATATATGTTAAAACAAAATATTAGTCCACTCATGCAAGAAAAAAACTAATAAAATTAGTTCGATTTAGGAAGATTCATAATTTATGAAAAATTCCAGTCAATTCTCTTTAAGTTTCTCTTCCATAAGTCTTGAAGGAATATTTCGTTATAGATCAAGGAATCTCTTTGTTTTGTTATATCATATTGAAGTTGGCATGAATGAATAAGAAATAGAGTTCACTTTTGTTTTTAGGATCAGCACGTTTGTCCCGTATTCATAATTCTAAAATAAAACAATAATCAGTCTTTGTCTTTAATCTCGACAGAAGAATGATGATTCATTGCCTTAATCTTTACCTCTCGTTTTATTTTCTGCCTAATAAATATGTAAAAACTGTAATGTCGATATTTTCTCTGGTATATAAGAACCGCCTGTGTTCACGGTAAAACCTGAAAAGGAGTACCAGCGAAGGGTCAACAGTGAAGTGACCATGCCTTGTTATGGCAAAGGGCAGCCGAAGCCTTCTATAATCTGGATGAGGGTTTGTAGTACACATTTATGTCTTTCATAATTACTATAAAAACCAAAATAGTCTATCTTATATTACCAAAGTCATTTTAGAATACTTAAAATAGCTGAAAAATCCACACAAATACAAGTAAGATTAAATAAGTAAATCCTAACATTTTATTTATATCATTATTTGTATAAAGAGGTTGAGTATGTTATAATAAAACTATTTTGGAGTCTCACCACGTCGTTACAGCCAATGTAAACAGGTTCGATCATGTTCTGTCTGATGACTTGTACCTTAAACAGCCTTGCATTGTAAGTTCTATTGGAAAAGGTTCCATCATAAGGCTTTCATGTCTAAAACGCACCACTCTTTCCTACGAGCTTTCTATAATCCACCTAGAACGAGAACAGCGGTTTCCTAGCGCCCACTTCAAGAGCCTGATCGTACAGAAATCTTTACGCGCTGCGGCCGGCGACTTAACCAGTATGTCTTCGTATATAATAATATGAATACTCATTTCATTGTCCAGATGCATTAGGTATAAAACGGTTGAACTATTATGACATAAAAGCAACTTGTGTAAATGTGATTTGTGCCACTTTTCCAGATGGAGATCCTTTATGATTATGTCACAAACTGTTGCTTGTAACATTTGGGTAACTTTTGTTACTAATCTAAAATTTGCTACTCTTCATGAATCCTCACCTGTAACAAGACGCACACTTTTTTCATGGTTTGGGTACGACTTGTTGCAGGTCTCATTTGTTATGGTCCTGCTACATCAAGTTCATCCATATAGCTTTGTTTTCAATTTTCAATAAGAACAAAGGAAATCCCCGTCTTGGAAATTCTAAATCTTCAATCTGAACATGTCTTTATATTTGAATTTTTGAAGATTTTGCGTCGCAAAGGGCTGTTACGTACAATTCCCATAAGCAATAAATCTACTGTGGCATCGTACTACTTAAAAAATGTCAAACAATGTCAAATGTAGTTCTGATTCATTTCGTTTTACTGCGCCTTTATATTGGCTGTGGTTGTTACGTGACTTGCTTATTTGCATAGTTAAAGTCGTCTTACAATAACGCACTCTGTAAATCGTAGCCATATATTGAACAACCTCATTAAGTAAGAATAATTTATAATGATTGGTATATTCAACACTCAGTAATCTTTCGTAAAGGCACAGAATAATCGTAATCCATTTCTTTCTGTTTGCTTTTTATTATTGTTGTGTAGGCGAACAGTAAGAAGCTTTCGCGAGACCGTAGCACTCAGCGTAACGGAAACCTGACGATACGGACGTTAAGGAAGGAGGACCACGGTCGTTACGAATGTGTCCTTCAGAATGATATCGCTACACTTGTCACAAGTACTTTACTTACTGTTCAAGGTAAATCCTGATCTTCTGGTAGTTATGTCTTAAATAAACTTTGAATGTTTATTAACATATTCATCAACCATAAATAACTGGAAGTCTCTTTCTTGTCTACTGTAAATATCGGGAGTTTGATATTTCTATCTTCAAAGTTTCGCACGTAGATATTCTATTTTTTTAACTCAGTTACGCAGTGTTTGGAAAATTAACATTATCTCCTAGAATCACTTAAATGTAATGTAAATTTTACCGAACATTTTTTGTTATTTATATTAATTTTGGAACCATTATATAACTTGTGATTTTTTTCAACTAAAAATTGTTTTTCACTGGATATTTTTTCGTTTTTCCCAGGTACAACACCCCATTCTCCCACAAACGTAACTGTCAGAACAAGTGCCTTTTCGGCTACTTTAAGCTGGCGTCCTGGCTACAATGGGAATTATCTCCAGTCTTATGTAATCTGGTCAGTATAAACTTATTTTCAGTGATAATGATATAATTATAGTGGTAATATATTATCATTTCCAGGTTAATCAAGGCTTAATATGGACATTTTCTGTTGAATGTCTATTGCTCTAGAACTATTTAGGTATGACATACTATTTATATATAACTATCTATAACTAACTATATATAACGCTAGATCCGTCGATCCATAGTCCGACTCGTTAGCCACTAAACTACATTCGGCCATTTTCGTAGTAATGGTAATACCGATTTCGTGATTTTGACAACTATTTTGTAGCCACACTGGAAGTGTACATTGCTTTCTTAGTACAAAGCTATACAATGGACTATTTGTCATCCGCAGGGACTCAAAGATGTTTGTTTTTTCAATTTCAAGAAATTTATATCTTTAACATCCAGTGATAGTGAATATAAACAGTTGGAGTTTTCCAATGTAATATATTAATGTGTTATACATAATTTCTACGCGTCTGTACAGATAAATGTGTAAAATTTAGAAAGAATTTATTTATTTATTTATCTTTAAAGTAGTTAGTAAAGTTCTGGTACCTTTATATATTTTTCAACAGTTTTCATTTGAATGCCAAAAGACATTTATAGCTACTTTTATAATGTAGCTCTTGAAATACAAATCTAGGCTCATAAAATATTTTATAAAAAGAAAAAAAGAAATATTGTCATATTTAATAACTTTCGAGGCTAGAAACATTTCCATAGAAACAAGAAACTCTCATGTTACGTAATATAACGACACAAAAGAAATATTGTATTTTGGTACTAAATCCGGACTCTTGAAATAGAACCCTTTGCAGAAGACGTAATGGTATATGTTGTGGATTTTTTTGTGCATCATGTGCAGGAACAACAATCATATGTATAGAAAAAAGGGAATTGGACCTTGAAGAAAATAAACTCTACGTTTTGAAAAGAAATGAAACTATTCTGAGTAGATTAAGGTACAATTCTGTGTTATGCGAATCCCAAAACAAGAAATCCCGTTTTCCCAAGGTAGGTCTTACTTCTTCCTGGAAGTTGATATGAAAGAAAAAGGTCTCTCGTCGTAGAATTCTTTGTTGTTTTTTATGTGAAATACGTATCTCGTCGAAAACAAGCAAAGTAAACAACACAGCGTGAAGAGTTGATTTAAACATTATTTTAAAGAAATAACTAAGTTAATTTCGCTTCCTTTAGTAACACAGGTAATTCAGTCAGTTTTTGTTCACTTTTATATCAGTCTTTTCAGACGTGCAATATTTTAAACTAATTACTACCAGCATCTTCTGATGGCAGTATATATCTTTATATCGTGTATTCTATAGTTGAAATGTATTTCTGATAAGTTTTAAACTCACCAAATAACTTTTGGAAAAGTAAAACGAATATCTTTAAGTGTGCGATCTTTTATTAGTACGGCAGAAATACTAGATTTTGGTGTTAATATAGTTGTTTGTTTACTAGGAATCTTTTAAAGTTACATAAAAGAAATGATGCTTCACATAATTATAGATAACTGATCCTTTTCGGGCTTTTACCATTCAAACAACTTCCCTTTAACCAGAAATCGATTGTTATCGTGATTTTTCCCGTAAACTGGTTCCTTGCGACACGTAACTTGAAATTATATATTATCCACACACACACACACCGATTTTAAGCAGTTTTTCTTGCACGCTTCCCAGTGGCACAGCGGTATGTCTGCGGATTTACAACGCTAGAAACTGGGTTTCGATACCCGTGGTGGGCAGCGCACAGATAGCCCGTTGCGTAGCTTTGTGCTTAATTACAAATAAATAAACCTTCTTGCACTTGTTTTAGTGGTACATAAACGTAAAGTACGCTTGCATATAATTTGTAATATACCGTGCAACTTTAAGAATCAATTTTACTATGATTTAATAATGTCAACCGCTTTAATGTGCTTATTATTACTTTTGAATTCATTCTGTTTTATTTTTCGTAAGAAATGCTTCATTTGATAAATAAGTGCATTTAACAACGGATAATAAAATATATTTAATTATTGGTAAGAACTTCTAATTGAATGTAAATGAGTAGTATATTAATATGTTAACTACAATATCTGCTATCTAGTGCCGACGAGGCATTTCGTTCAACACCAGGACTATTCAGGCCAGCTGGAATACAACGTGCATAGTAGTAGTTGAGACGCTATTTATATTATTAAACTCTTTGAACAACAAGTGTTTCGATGTGAACTGGATCAAGTTAATGAAATGTAATTAGCAAATCAGAATTAAGCATTTTTAACATTATTATTCATTTATCTTAAAACCGTATATTATTAATTATTTTCTTATTTCATCAACTTTCTCTTTATTAGAAGCATTAGCAAACGAGCAAGATTAAACGCCATTTTGTTACGTAACAGAAAGTTGAAGTAAGTTTATCAAGAAGACTTTTTTTTCATATATATAATGTGTCACGAGAGGCGTTTCACAAGTACAGTATTAATCTACCCTGCATACAGTACTTCTGAAATGTCAAAAATTCATCTTACTCTATATCAAAAGTAAACTGTTTATTTGCCGCAAGGAGTACTCTTTATCACGAATAAGGACGTCGAATATGGAAATTATATAGTGTTTAATGAAATGCTATATAAACAGACTGCTGGAAGATTAATTAATGTTAAACTACTCTACCTTTTGGCTAGTATTTCAACCTAGGTTGACCAGATATAATAACTAGGACTGTGGTTAATTAGTGTGTTTATAACGGACAAAATTAGTATCTACTATTTATTGCATCGTATACAGACCTTCCGTTACTTTATGGTAATTATTTAATAGTTAAAGTTTACGATATTTCTGCAAAGTTGAGGAATCAGTTATTCACGAATACAGAAAATACAAAATATAGCTTGTCTTGTGAGCAATTAATGTTGCTTATAACAATTTCACAAGACATCTGCAAGAACTCGCTAATGTATTAATATTTTGCAGAATATCTATGTAATAGATTGACAAACATTTCTAAGTTTTGTACATTGCACACTCTGAAATAAAAAAATGAATAAATTAATATCTTTATCCCTACCCCCATCCCCCCCTTGTGACACTAAATATCAGGTGGTCACAGCGCAGAGAACCCGTTTTGTAGACTTTTCCTTAGTAACGAAATAAATAGAATTATTAATATTAATAAATAGTTCTGTGCTCTTTGGTTTTTATCTGAGTATGTATACGATATTATTGAATAAAAAAAAGAGTTAGTTTTGTAGGCAAACTATATTTAGTTAGTTTTTCTTTTCGTGATTGCGATAAGGGAAGACACTCGTGTTATTTAGGATTCCCTAACATCAATAATTTAGATAATATATTTTCTTTATTCACGTTTGATGTTTCCGTTCTAAGCTTTTTACTAGATTCTGTTTTTGATGCAAAATACTATAAACAAAATATTCCCAAAATGAAGTTTCGGTCTTATGGATTACTCTTTAACGTATGTTAAAAACTAATATAAAACATTTCTTTTAGAGGGTAACATTTTGGAACAAAGGATTTATCTTTCTGATCTTTTTAAACTTGAATTAAATAATATCGAGTATATATGTATTTGTATATTTTGTAGGCAAACTGTATTGACCGAACAGAACATTTATCTAATGAGCTGTAAGACTTATCAAAGAAGTAAGATTAGATTATGAAAGAAAGCACGAACGGTGTATTGGTAATCGAAACGGATAGGAGATTGTTATAGTGAACGTTATAGATATATATTGATAGGTATAGACACTAATGATACAGTAGAAAGAGAAGGAAGGCTAATCTATCCAATTCTAACAATGGTCAGCCCTATATGACTGATACGTCTTGTATATATACAGGGTCACTTAGAAGTTTATCTAGACGCACATTATTCAAAAATGAAGGAGTTTAGGGAAAACATGTTGGTAGTATAGAATAAGGTGCTGTGGGCCTACTCTGTGATACTATCATTGAAGTCATCTTCAAGGTCATTTTATTAGCACCCGTTATACTACTAAAATGTCAACGGCAAGGGTGTAGACTGTAACAAAAGAAACATGTTAAATCAAATATTACCAAAATTGCTACTCAAGAACAACACATATAGGTATAAATACACCCCTTCCATGCATATGGAGCTGTGCCACAGAAGATCGAAACCCGACCATACATAAACTTAAGTTTGAGGTGTAGGGTCGTATTTTGCATAAGCAAGTCATTGCACTTATGAAGGGTTCAAATGATTAAAAAATATTAGAATAAAGCCCCCTACATAAAGTAACACAAAACACTATTCTGCAACTGCTTCCATCTAATCAATGGCACAGTATTCAGTTGAAAAATAGTTTCATGCAGAGTTTCACCAGGGTGGTTGGGTTGCTACCAGATTGTATGCCGAATGATTACCAGGTGAACATAATCTTTCATATCAGATCACAAAAAATGTGAGTTAGCGGCTGCATACGACAGACACATTTACCAAAGACACTCTGTAGCTATATGTCAAGATAGAAATTAACAATGAAACCACCAAATAGCATTTGTCACATCTGGCAGTACTTTGAACACAACTATTGATTATTTGGCACCATATAGTAATTCTGTTAGAATGTTTAACTCTTCTGCATTCGTGGTTATATTTTCTTTTAAAAATTTTAATCTCTTTTTTTTGTATTCATGTCTGCAATTTATATTTATGGTTCATGAGGCATAGTAATAAAATTTAAAGGACATGACCTTGAATTTCATTTAAATTGTGCCTCATTGATATTTGCAAAGGATATACCCACGATATTTCATATCCATATCACTAATAACACAGGCCTGCGAATTTAAACTTCATAAAAGTTATTTTGATTTTGATAATGGATTTTCCATAATTCGAAAATAATATGCATTTTTTTCTATCATGTAAAGATTGTTTACAAATCGGGAAGAAAAAGAACTCTTACAAATATCAAATTATATCGTTTACCACAATAATCGTTATAATGTTTATAACAAAAAT